GGGATGCCGGAGCTTCTGTAAGAACCGCACCTCCTTGATGATGTCCTGCCATTTCTAGGAAGAGGCCAGAGTAGAAGGGGGTCACCCAGTGTGCACCTTGCAACTGGGGTTCCCTCCCAACCAAGATGGTCTTATTGAGCCTGACTCACCTCATTTGATTGCTTTCCGCTATAGGACATCTTCTTGATGGCCACCACCTCACTATTCCGGACATCCCGGGCCTAGAGAATCAGACCAGAGGGTAGTGAAGACCCCCACTGAGCACAAGGCAGAGAAGGCTTGCTGGCTGAGTTGAAGAGGGCAGGGAAGGTTAGAGTGGCGTAGGAAGGCTGTCTAGAGGTCTACAGAGTTAAGAATAGAGTCCTCTCCCCTGCTTTACCCTCTCAAAACCCCACTCACAAAATACACAGCTCCAAAGCTGCCATGGCCAATTTCCCGGAGGTCAGAGAAGAGCTTTTCAGGGTCATCCTTGAAGAAGAGTTCAGCTACATCTGGGTCCTTCAGGCTCCCGGCCCGGCCCCCAGCTGGCATGGCGGCCCCTGGGGCCCCTGAGAGTGGGGCCTGGCCTAGAGAATAGAGATGGGAATCTTAGAGCAAGGACAGGGTCTTCCGGAAGAGGAAGGAGCCCCCTCAAGTTTCTGCTTTCTCCTCCCCTCATTCACTGATGAGGGGGAGGCACTGCTGAGGAAGGGCAAGGGGAGATTAGGAAGAACATCAAAGCTCCAAAAAAAAAATGAAGTTGCCCTGGCAACCAGATCACGGGGGCCGGGTCCCTGGAGTCCCTAAAACTGGTAGGAAGACTCTGGGAAGCTAAGCATCCTCACCACCACTCTCAGCCCTCAACAAGTTTCCATTTCCCTATACCTGTTATTTTCCCTCAAAGAGAAACAGGCCTCCCTGCCAGATCCCCACATGTCCTATCCCAAGTCCCAAACCCCACTGATTTCCATGTACCTTCCTCTTCCCCTTGATGTTGCGGCCCCCTCCTCCCTCAACCTCTCACACCCTGAAAAAGAACAGGAAACAGCCAAGCCGGAGATGGTGGAAATCCGGCCATTGTTGTAAGTGGGGACTGGCCCATGGGGGCCAGGAGACTCACTCTCAAAAAAGGGTAGAAGACACTGCAGCAAGGAGGAGTTCTAGAACAGGAAAGACAGTAATATAAATGATATCTGGCTTTGAGGGCCTCTCTGGGATCTGGATTGCCCCCCTTATCCAGTCCAACTGCTTGAGCAACACACCCAAGTACAGGCATTTACTGGGTACAAACAACATTTACTGGGCATGGATAGTAAACACCTCACACACATCATCTCATTCAATCCTTGCCATAACCTTATGAGGAAAGTATTATCATTACCCCTTTTTTACAGATTAGGAAACAGGCTCAGAAAGGTTAAGGGACTTGCCCAAAGTTGGTCTACCACCACCACCACCACCACCAGGCTTTCAGAACAGCCCTATGAAACCAGCAGGGCAGGATCAGGATCACCATTTCCCAGGTGAAGTCACTGAGGCAGAGAGGAAAAAAGAATTCTCCAAGGTCAGAGAATAGGACCTTCTCTTCTTATCAAGCCTGCATGCTCAATATTTTCTCAGCTTGCCACTCCAAGCTCAGCCACCCTCCTGCAGGAAGCCTCCACTGACCAGCTTTTGGGGAAAGTTCCCAGAGTACTCAAACACCCAAAGAGAGTTCCTGGAGGGCATTAGAACCAGGACTTTAGAGGGGCTTCTAGGGGAAGTTCCTAGCTAAACACTTATCAGGATTTAGGCACAAAGAAGCCTTCAGCAGAGCTGGACTCCCAGGGCAGAATTTTAGTTACTTAAAAGCACCCAACAATTTTAGCATGTAATTATATTCTGTCGTGCATTGTTTCCTGTTGTGTTGTTAATTTTGTCTCCTCAGCCCAACTGGAAGCTGGAGGGCAAGGAGGGAGCCTGACTCTCCAGTGGGCCCCCAGGGTGCCGAGGGCTCAGAATAGCCTGGGAGATTGATTGATTGCCCTCAGCCCAGCCCTCAGCAGCTTCCAGGCTGCTCAAAGCAGGCCCCCTTCTCCCTTCTGCCAGCAATGGTGCCAAGCATCTCTCACCCCACCGCACACCCACACGCAAAGGCAGGTGCTCACAACTTGCCAAGGGAATCTTCCTGACCTCTTTACCAGCACTGAGCCCAAGACGGCTAATCCAAAACCCCAGGCCACACGAAAGGGGTGCCAGCCATTGGCAAAACATCACACAGGTCCTCTTCCTCACAATAACAAACATTTGAGCAATCATCAAGATCTGTGCTAAATCACAACCACCCTTTAAGACAAATAACGTTATCTCTGCCCTGCAGACAAGGAACACCAAATCTGCCTGTGTTTAAGCTGTATCACTAGCACATCCCATCTGCAATGTACAGCAACAGGGCTTTGAATAAGTTCCTAATACTTCTCGGTCTTCTCTTACATTAAATGGATTACAGCATGGGACTGTTGTGAGATTTTAATGAGATCTCATACTTAGGAACACTATGCAGACACTCAACATATGGATTTTTCCTTCTCTGCCCCCAGGGTTGCCACAAGGCTTTAATCCTTTGGGGGATTTGGCTTTAACTGTTAAGAGAAGCCACTATGGCCCTCATTTATTAGAACAGAGAGCCTTCTTAAAAACCCAAGCCAAAGACTGGGATCAGGGTAAAGATGAAGGTCACAGTATATACAAAAATCCATAAGGCAGAGGCAGGAGCCAGAGCCTCCAATCAGGCAAAGCTCCTGAGTATAGCCCTCCTGCAAAGGAAGCTCATTTCATTCCCATTTTTAAATCTCACCTCAATTCATTCTCCTATGGATCCCTGGCCAAGCCCAGGTCAGAAGAAAACAGATAGCAAGAAACAGGTATAGATCAGGGGAGCAAGACTTGATGGAGTTCTTGGGTAAAAATCCCCATTCTGACACTACGTGACCTTGGGCAACCTCTCTGGGCCTCAATGTTCTTAACTGTAAAACGGGAAGACAGCAATAAAGGTGAATGGTGGTGGTGTCACATGAGAATGGGTATAAAAATACTTTGTAAAGATAGACCCACTGACAAATATATGAGATTATACCATCATAATAAGAGGTAGAAAAGAAGGTAACTGTAGCTGGGGGAGTATTGCCAAGCGCCCCCTCCCACCCACACTTCTTTGCAAGGACAAGAAACCCAACCAGACCAAGCCTGAAAAGCAGATAAGCAGACCCACCACGGGATTCAGAGGCATAGGAATCAACACCCCAGAGCAGGAAAAAGGGAATCATGGAGGAAAAGAGGTGGCTGGGAGAGGCAAAGTGAACAGGGTGAGAGGACATGAAGGCTGCAAACCCATCTGATTAGCTCAATCACCCTAGGGCGTGACCCCTGCTGACATCAAAGACCCTGTCACCCACCTGGGTTCCCCATCAACCAGGCACAATGAAGGAAAGAGGAAGTGGCAGAGGGTGGCAACAGAAGGCAAGGCTAGGCAGAGGCTGACCACTGACCAGCCAGGCTTCCCCATCCTGGGGAGAGAGCCCATCCAGGCCTAGCTTCTCAGAAAGGATCACCCTTTCTTTTCAGTGCTAGACACAGGGACCCGCGCCCCTGCACCCCATGTCTCACCTGGTAGGGGTCACTATGGTGCCCCAGCGCCTCCGCTTCCGCCTGGAGTCCTCCAGCGGCTCTGCCAAGCAGGGAGAGGGGCAAGGAGACCTCTCCCCTTGCCACCTCTTCCTCAGCTTTCGCCCTTCCTGAGGGGCGGACCCGGGAAGCCTCCCCTGGAGGGGAGGGGGTGACAACCTGATCTGACCTCGCGGTCCAGTCCTCCCCCAACTCGAGGGCGACAGTTGCTGAATCCCGGATTTGATTGTGGGGTATGAACCCCGAATATTTGCACGGGGATAAAATGAATCCGATATTTGAACACCTGGGGAATGAACCCCGGATAGTGGTGCACGCGGGGGCCTGAACCCCAAGATATTTGAAATTCTATAAAACAGAGACCCAGGTTTAGAGAGGTTGGGACTCGAGTTCAAGCTACCTGGAATATGAGGACTGATACCTGGGTATCTGAGAAGCAAGGGGCCAAGCCCGGAAATTTGGGACCCAAGGGCCTGAGCCCCAAATCTTCGGCCACCTACAGGGGGCCCACCCCTAGGACGTCCGGCAGCACGGCCCCACTCACGCCGGGGTCCGAGAGTGACAGCCCCCACTCCCGCCCTGGACTCCTCCCTCCCCCCTCCTCTCTCCGGAGGACTACTGAAAGACTGTAGCTAAGGCGCTGATGACGGTCCCCGCGCCCTCTCTCCCTCTCCTCTTCTCCGTCTCTCGGCACCACAGCCCCGGTCTCGTCCCAGTCTCCCTCTCCCTCTTCCTCCCAATTCCAAGATGGAGACCGGGCGGGAGCGCGCAGGCGCGGTAGGGACGCCGGGCCGGGAGGGCGGGGTCCCAAAGAAGCAGCCCCGCCCCTTTCCTTAAGGCCGGTGCCCGGGAGCCAGGCAGCCACCCAGCCAGAATGCGCGCGCGCCCCGCCACGCGGACCCTGGGTGGGAGGAGGCGGGTAGCTGGGGTAGACTTGCAGGGGGAGGAGCCCAGCGCGCGGTCCGACGACTGGTGGTGGAGAAAGCTGAGGCGCATGCGTTTGCCCCGCCTTAGCTCTGTGCCTGAGCCTGTTGCTAGGGGAAGCTTTGAGGGGGCGCGGGTGGAAGGAAAGAGGCCGTGATTTGCGCCTGCGTGCAGCGTAGAAGCTGGGAGGGGTAAGGGAAAGCTGCTGCTGGGAGCGGAAAAGGCGGGAAAGTGGACCGTCCAGAGGTTAGTAAGCATCCAGCCTGGACATGGGTCCCCAAGGGTGAGGAATCTTTGCATATGAATATTGGGTAAATTCTATTGGTCGAATTTCTTAAGGAAACTAAGGCACTGCAGGATTGCATGACTTACTCAAAGTCGCAGTGCGTTTATGTGATGGCATTTCCACTATCTGACCCTCCAAAAACCAGCTGTAATTATCAATTTTATTTCATGGAAGAAAGGCATAAAAATGGCAGAGCTAGGATCAAAATCAGGTGTTTTCCAAAGCCAAGTCACAACCTGGAAAGAGTTGTGTATATGTTCTATGCGAACCTGTATCCCAAACTCAAGAGTCAACAGGGAAAAGTCCCTCCAAACCTCCCATGCCTGTTTACTATAAAATTCCTACCTCAATTCCAATCCCCAATAAACACTTTAGGCCACACTGGGCAGGAAAAAAAAAAAAAAAAGCCTTTTATTTTCTCCCAAATTCTAGCTCTTCACTTTTTGTAAGGTCTCTTCTGAGTCAGAATCAAGGCCCAAGAAGTTGATTCACACCTGTAGAGAAAGGAAAACAAAACAGGACAGGTCAGAGACTCCTTAGGTGGGGTGAGTACAGACTGATGAAGGAGCAGACAGAGTGACAATTAGAGACAGACGGGTATAGACTCAATCCCACTGGGGCAGCCTCAGGACCCTAGCATCTGCCACAGGCCAGAAAGCTCTTCTTTCCCAGTCCAAGCCTGAGAAGGCTCCATCATTTCCTGTCCCAGGTAGGTGTCTGAGGCAGTGAGGGTTGGCCCCAAGCAAAATTTGCAAAATTGATCTTGAACTTCCAGTTCCTCTGGCTGGGCTGTTTCCACTCCTCCTACAGTCATTTCCTAGGGCACAGCAGCAGCTAGAGCTGAGAACAGTTTAAGAGCTGAATGCATAACATATGGCTCTCAAATTAAGAGACTGACCTGACAGGGTGAAGATTTCTTGCAGAAATATTTTTTTCCTTTGATGAGTTGACATGAGAACTAGTTAGCAGATATGTCCTCCACCCCCTGCTATCTTTGTAAATCTAATTCCCTCCAAATATCTTGTTAGTAGAATCAACTTTTTATAAATGCAATGATGAATAAATGGAAGAGCGCATGTTAAATGCTCAGGCACACAGTGTGTTCCTAGTAAATGGGCATCATTAATTAGATTCTTTTCAGATGTTCTAATCAAATTTACAAAACTTGTATTAAACTTGTATTAAAATTTTAGGATGGGAGCTGGGGCTGTAGCTCGGTGGTAGAGACTTGCCTTGCATGTATGAGGCACTGGGTTCGATCCTCAGCATCACATATAAATAAATAAATAAATAAATATTTAAAAAAAATTTTAGGACAAGCCAGGAACAGTAGAGCACACCTATAATCCCAGCAGGTTGGGAGGCTGAGGCAGGATGGACCTCTCAAAGCCAGCCTCAGCAAAAGCGAGGTGCTAAGGAGCTCAGTGAGATACTGTCTCTAAATAAAATACAAAATAGGGCTGGGGATGTGGCTCAGTGGTTGAATGCCACTGAGTTCAATCCTCAGTAGTGCCCCCCACCAAAAAAAAGAATTTTAGGACAAAAGCAAGGCAAACATCATGCATATCCAGGAGGAATCATAAAAGATGAACCCTCTTAACTCACCATTCTTGCCAAAAATCATGGATATGAACTACAGCCATGGGTAAATCTTAAAATCAGAATGTCACTTGAAAGAAATCAGTCACCAAATAATATGTATGATTCCATCTTCAAAAATAAATAAAACCAAATCTCATGCATAGTTGGAATGCATATTTGGTGATCAGCTATAAAGCAAAATAGTACTTCCTTCTAGGGAGAAGAATGTCATTACCAGGAAGGAAGGGACCAGAGGATAAGGGCTTCTAGGATACAGGTATTTTAAGAGTAACTACTTTATAATAATTTACCACGCTGTACTGTTGAGGTTTTCGGACTTTTCTACAGGAATGTTAACTATTTTGTAATTAAAAAAAAAAAGTAAAAATAATAAGAAAAATGTTGCATGCTTATGGTATAAATGATTCCCATTCCCCATGAGGATAGATGGAGCTTCTTGAGGACTCAGAGCAATATTTATGGATAGATTCCAAGGATCTGTTCTACCCCAGTTACAGTTGCCACCCCCACCCCTCTCATATTCCCACAGGACTAGAGTAAAGAACCTCACCTGAGAACAAGGCAGGAACTAGGCCAGTGCCCTCAGAGCCGGGTTCTAGACCAGTGGGACTCCCGGCGCGGGTGGAAGCACACAGCAGTGACACAGCAGAGAAGGCCACAGAGGAGAAGCAGGAAGAAGCCCAAGACCAGCAGCCTGGAACCACACAGAGCCAGCTCTTCCTAGGGGAGGGAGCAAAGTGGGAAGGAGAAATGATGAAGAGGGGACAGTGGGGACTTGTCCCTTTGGAAGACATCTTGACCCCAGCCCAAGAGCTGTGGAGAGAAGCCCCCATGAGGGGGAGGCCTCTCAGCACCCAGGGAGGGAGCAGTTAGAGGGAAGACATTACTTTGATGCAAGTTAACATTTGTCTTGGATGGTTAACAAACTAATTTCTTGCCCAGCCACCAACCTTAACTCTCAAAATGATTCCTAGAGATAGGAAAATTCACAATTATCTACATTTGAAAGACTGCAAGCAGTGCCAGGTTCTGCTCCACCCAGGGTCTCTAAATGTGACAGCAGAGGGTACTGCAGCCATCTAAACTGTCTCCCTCCATCTCTCAGCTAGTCTCTTCTACCCAGCACTAGGTGGGCTTCTCTCTCCTTCAGAGCCTTTACTGGCCCTTATGATGCTAGGTGTAGCATCCCAGCCTGGCTTTCACAGCCCCATCAGCCACTGTGGTCTCTCCTGCCTCTTCTAAGACACCTAAGCCCCTCATTTTGGAGCCCCTCAGAAAACGGACCACTTTTTGATCCCTGAGAACACTGTGCTCCTGTATCTTCCCTCTCTGGAACTCTACTGAATTCTCTGTCCAAACCTTCATTCTTCTTTTTTTTTTTTTGGTCCTGGAGATTGAACTCAGGGTTGCTTTACCACTGAACTACATCCCCAGCCCTTTTTATTTATTTATTTATTTTTGAGACAAGGGCTTGCTAAGTTGCTGAGGCTGGCCTTGAAGTTGTGATCCTCTTGCCTCAGCCTCCTGAGTGGTTGTGATTACAGAGCCCCCAGCCAAACCTTCATTCTTTAAAGGTCCTGATGGAACACAACACATGGATTGCAATCCTGGCTCTGCTACTTAACTAGTTATGTGGCCTTAGGCAATTCACTCCCTCTCTTTAAACCTGTTTCTTCATCTGTAAAATGGGATAATGATACCTACCTCAAAAGGCTGTTTTAAGATCAAATGAGATAATGAACCTGAAAGCATTCTGTACATTATAAACTTTGTATATTATAGACAACTATACACAATTGTCTTTCGTAAGTGCCACCTTCCCTGGAAAGTGCTCTTCATAAATGTTCAAGTTAAATTGCTGTATGCTTGGTATTTGAATAACACTCTGCTCACATTTCAATGATAGCAATTAGCCCCTTCTGCCTCTTATTACAGCTTCTGAATTCCTCTGAGATAGAGATCATGTTTTATCTTATTAAAGACAACAGTAAATAGTTGTCCTTTATCAAATCTCTATTATGTATGGGGCACTGTGCTGAGCATTTTGCTGTCATTCTCATTCAATCCTTGTTTGATAGAATGAAGATATAGTATATGGTTTTGTTTTACAGATGGGAAGCTCAGACTCAGAGAGGTTCAGATACTTACCTAAGTCACACAGCCTCTAAGGCAGGGTTATAAAGCCTGTACTTTTTCTATTAGGTAAAATTGCCTTCTGGAACCTCGAAGACACAGCAACCCACCATTCTACAAAATCCTGAGGACGGACCTGAGGCACTTACTGAGGTGAGCAGCTTGGTGAGCACAAGGCCCTCGTGGCTCCAGACTCTGACACACTCCTCACCCATCTTAGGACTCAGGGTGGAATTTCCTGCTCCCTCTTCTGAGCAGGATATGGGTGGCTGGCTGGAGGGCAGGATTCCTGGAACAGTGCTAAAATATAGACAGGTTCCTGGAGTCCTCTCTGTGGTCACTCTGGCTGTGATGAGGATCAGCTCTCCCGCAGAAGATCCTGGGAGAGGCACAGGAGAGCAGATGGGGAAAAAGAAGCAGAGGGCAGGAGCTATCTTCAGACTTCTGTTTGTTCCTAAAGCTTCCTACAAGACCAGGAGTTTTGGCATTAATCTCATTCAATAAAGTACTCTGTACACAATGCCATTTATATCTTTGAGAAATGAAAATGGCTGCCTATCAATATAAACACAAATTAGCTGAAATTAGTTTAAAATCAACTCCACCATCATACTACTACCTCACAAGATCGTAGTGAGACAGGCAGACCCACACTGCTCATGTCATTGTGTATAAATTAACCTGTCCTTTTTAAGAGAGCAACTCCCGCTAGGTGCCAAAATTCATTAAAAGATTCACACCTGCTGGATACAGTGCTCATGCTTGTAATCCCAGTGACTCTGGAGACTGAGACAGGAGGATCGCAAGTCTGAGGCTGGCCTTAGCGAGACCCTGTCTCAAAATAAAAAAAAATTTTTAAAAGGACTGGGAACGTGTGAGGCCCTGAATTTGATACTCAGAACCACATAACAATAAATAAATAAAGATTAAAAAAAAGTTTATACTCTATTTTATTTAATCTTTTTTTTTTTCAGTTGTAGATGGACAGAATGCCTTTATTTTATTTGTTTATTCGTATGTGGTGCTGAGGATCGAACCCAGTGCCTCATACATGCTAGGCAAGCACTCTGCCACTCAGCCCCAGCCCCAGCCCCAGCCCCTACTCTATTTTAAATTAGTGGGGAAAGGATAGCCTATTAAGTAAATGGTTTGGGGAAAATTTCCATGTTGAAAAGAACATAGATTGTTATCTCGCACTATAAAATAAATGCAGATATATTAAATAATCATACAAAACTAAAAATAAATTTTAAGCAATTATTAAAAGAAAATACAGACTATTTCCTAATTTTAAGGAAGACCTTCCAACAAAGGACAGAAAATCTAAAATCTTTAGTAAAGGACAAGAACAATATACCCATCTTCATAAGGGTTAAGGACTTCCATACAACAAAAGATAAATTAAAAACAAAAAAATCAAGTTAACAGATTGCCTGAAAACACCTATAATGCACTTAATTAACAGAAAAGTTTAGAATCTAATAGAATAAAGATGTACACATCAAGAAAAAAAAGACAAAAAAAAATGAGGGGAATGTAAAATGGTATAGCCACTGTGGAAAAATGTATGGTAGTTCCTCAAAAAATGAAATGGGGGGCCGGCTGGGGTTGTGGCTCAGTGGTAGAGTGCTCACCTAGCATGCACGAGGCACTGGGTTTGATCCTTAGCACCACATAAATGTAAAATAAAGGTATTGTATCCACCTAAAACTAAAAAATAATTATTTTTTTTTAAAAAATGAAACAGAAAATATGATACAAAAAAAAAAAAAAAAAAAGAAAAGAAAAATGAGCAAAGAATACAAACAGGTAAACCAATGACCTGAAAATGTCCAATAAACCCATTAGAAGAAACTCAACCTCACTAGCAATTAGGAGAAAATAAATTAAAAGAATCAGGTAATTCCTTTACCTATTAAATTAGTAAAAATTAAAAAGATGAATACAGGAATTTTTGAAGATGTGAGGAGGTAGGCACTGTCTAAATTATTATTTATCTGTGTCTATGGCAATTTAAGTGGGCTCAGAATATGTCCATCAAGTGCGGACCACTTTTACATTTGTTTTCTAGACTTCTGTATGTGCTCATCCCACAACAAAATGAGTTTTTAAAAAGCCAGCACAGAAGGCTGGGGATGTGGCTCAAGCGGTAGCGTGGTCGCCTGGCATGTGGGCAGCCTGCGTTCGATCCTCAGCACCACATACAAACAAAGATGTTGTGTCCGCCAAAAACTAAAAAATAGATATTAAAATTCTCTCTCTCTCTAAAAAAAAAAAAGCCAGCATGGGGCTGGGGTTGTAGCTCAGTGGTAGTGTATTTGCTTTGAATGTATGAGGCACTGGGTTTGATCCTCAGCACCACATAAAAACAAATAAATTAATAAATAAAAATATTGTGTTCATCTAAAAAATCTTTTTAAAAAGCCAGCACATCTGGCTCAGGAGGCTGAAACAGGAGGATCGTGAGTTCAAAGCCAGCCTCAGCACAAGTGAGGCGCTAAGCAACTCAGTGAGACCCTGTCTCTAAATAAAATCCAATATAGGGCTGGGGATGTGGCTCAGTGGTCTAGTGTCCCTGGGTTTAATCCCTATACCGCCCTCGCCCCCCAAAAAAGGCAGCACCACATCCACCTGTAATCTCAGCAGCTTTCAGGGCTGAGGCAGGAGGAGCACAAATTCAAAGCCAGCCTCAGCAACTTAGTGAGGCCCTAGCAATTTAGAGAGATCCTTTCTCTAAATAAAATATATAAAGAAGGGCTGCCTCAGAGTTTAAGTGCCCCTGGGTTCAATCCCCACTACCAAAAAAAAAAAAAAAAGCAAGGGAGGCATATTCTTTGACTATGTAATTCTACTTATGGAAATGCAAAGGAAAGGATTAAAACAAAAATGCAAAGCATATCAAAATATTTATTGTGATTTTATCAAGAATTAGGAAACAATAGATGTTTACTAAGGAAAGCATTAACAAATTCGGGCCTGATCATTTAATGGATCAATTTATAGTCATTATCACAATGTTGAAGATCATGTAGTATTATGAAAAACCACTTACATGTAAGTGAAAAAAGACAAACACAAATCAGTATAGACACCATAATTACCACTGAAAAATATATGTATAAAATTTGGTAAAAAACTTTTCCCCTTTCTTTACATCACCCCGATGGAATCAGTCACCAAGTCTTACCAATCCCAGATTTCTAATGTCTCTCTCAACTCACACCTCTGGCTTAGCCCAGCTTTTCTCATCACTGCTTTATTGCAGTCACTTCCTAACCGGTCTTCCTGTCAGCTAACAGAGTGTGATCTTTTTTAAAAAAAAAAAACAAACAATAAAGTTCTACTGCTTTCCTGGTCAAAATCTTTAAGTATGCCCAATGTGCTGGATAAAGCCCCATTACCTTGGGTTGCACACAAGATCCTCCACGGGATCTTGCCTCCGTCTTCAGACCCATCTCCCACTACTCATTCAACATTCCTTCTCCAGTATATACCAGCCAAACTGAACCTCTGGAAGTTCCTAAACATGTCATGCTGTCCTTATGTTTGCCATTTCCTCTGGCTGAACTGTATGTGACTAAGCATTCCTCAGGCTTTAGCCTAGGCACTGTATCCTTGGGAAAGTCCTTTTTTGCTATCCCTGCTCCATGGGCCCCTCAGTACTCCCACTGTACCTTATGTTCTACCTCACATACTGAAAGGTATTTATTTCTATTCGAATCTTTATCCTTGCAAGACTGTAAGCAACTTTAGGGGAGGACCCATGTATTACAGATCTCTGTATTTCCCATGTCTGATATTTGTAAGTGCTCAATAATTGTTACATGGTTGATACAATCACAGATGATTCCTCCTACCCCCGTAAAAATCTTTGTTTCTAACCATTATTAAAAGAATAGGGCAGGGCTGGGTTTGTAGCTCAGTGGTAGAGCATTTGCCTAGTATGTGTAAGGCCCTAGGTTTGATCTGCAGCACCACATAAAAATAAGTAAATAAAATAAAGGTATTAAAAAAAAGAATAGGGCTTCTTGCAGAAACAGAAATTAACAAGCTATTCCTAAAATTCATGCGAATGAAAACTCAGGGGATCTGGAATAGCTAAGACAATCTTGAAAAAGAAGAACTGAGTTGAAGGACTCACGTTTCCTGACTTCAAAACTTACTATGAAGCTACAGAAATCAAAACAGTGTGGCACTAGCATAAGGATAGACATATAGATCAGTGGAATACAACAGAATCTCAAAATAAACAATGTATCCATGGTCAATTGGTCAATTTATTTTCTTTTAGTTTTCTTTTTCTTGGTTCTGGGGATTGGACCCAGGGGCACTTTACCAATAAGCTAGTTCCCAAGTCCTTTTATTTTATTTTATTTTTAATTTTGAGACAGGGTCTTGCCAAATTGCTGAGGCTGGCCTTGAACTTGGAATCCTCCTGCGTCAGCTTCCCAAATTGCTGGGATTACAGGCCTGCACCACCACAGTGGGCCAACTGATTTTTCAATATGGTGCCAAGAACATTCAGTGGGGGAAAAGAACAATCTTTCCAAAAAATGATGTTATACAATTAAAGATAGACACATGCAAAAAGAATGAAGTTGAGCCTCATACATAAAATGAACTAAAGATGGATCATAGACCTAAACGCAAAAATTAAAACTATAGAAGAAAATACAGGGTACTAGGTGCAGTGGCACTGAAAACACAAAGAACTCTTATACCTGAATAATTAAGACAAATCGCATAATTTAAAATACAGTTAAAGACTCTGAATATATGTTTCTTCAAATATACATATAAATGGCCAAAAGCATATGAAATATCATTATCAATCTTGTTAATTCATCAGGAAAATGCAAATCAGAATCACACTGGTTAGGACAACTATAATAAGAAAGACAGATAATAACTAAGTATTGGTGAGGTTGTAGAGAAAATGGAAATCTCATACTGATGAAAATATAAAATGCTATAGCTGTGTGGAAAACAGTTGGGAAGTTCCTCAAAAGATTAACCATAGCATTATCTTATGTTCTACTTGTAAGTACACACACACACACACACACACACACACACACACACATGCAGGTAAATACTAGGGATTGAAGCCAAGGGTGCTTTACTACTAAGCTACATCCCCAATTCTTTGTGAGACAGAGTCTCAATAATTTGCTGAGGCTGGCTTCAAACCTGCAATCCTACTGCTTTAGTCTCCCAAGTCATGCCCAAGTCACCACCACGCCCAACTCATGTTTATTTCAAGAGAAATGAGAACATGTCCACACAAAAACCTACAGTGTTCATAGCAACATCATTTATATTAACCAAAACCTACAAACAACCCAAATGTTGAACACAGAAATGATGAACACATAAATGAAAATGTGGTATATTCATTCAATGTTGTTCAGCATAAAAAGAAATGAAATACTGATACATGCTATAAAATGGCTGAACTTTAAAAACTTTATTCTAAGTGAAAGAAGCCAGTCACAAAAGACCACATATCATATTAAGTGTCCAGAATAGGCAAATCTACAGAGACAGAAAGTAGATTAGTGGTTGCTCAGGGCTGGGCGATTGGGGTGGGGGGAGAGAAGGAGAATGACTGTTAATGGGTGAACAGTCTCTGGTTGATGAAAATGTTCTAAAATGAATTGTGATAATCACACACTAGTGTGAATATATTCAAAGTCATTTAAATGTATACTTTAAGTAGGTGAATTATATGGTATGTGAATCAAATCTCAATAATGCAGTTAAGGGCTGAGGTTGTGGCTCAGGGGTAGAGCACTTGCCTCGCACGTGCGAGACCCTGGGTTCGATCCTCAGCACCACATAAAAAGAAATAAGTGAAATAAAGGTATTGTGTCCAACTACAACTAAAAAATAAATAAATAAATAAATAATGCAGTTAAATGTTTTTTTTGTTTGTTTGTTTGTTTTAAAGTAGAAAGAATTGCCAGGCTTGGTGGCACACACTTATAATACCAGCGACTTGTGGGAGCTGACGCAGAAGATTCCCAAGTTTGAGGCTAGCCTGGTTTCACTTAGTGAGACCCTGTTTCAAAATCTGAAATAAAAAGGGCTGAGGATGCAGCTCAATGGTAGAGCACCCTGGTGTTCAATCCCCAGTACACACAGAAAAAAAGGCAGAATAGGAAAAACTGCCCCAAGTCTGTAAATATCTGATACATTCCTTATTCTTCTTGTTCTTTTTTTTTCTCGCTCCCCTCAACAACCTACCACTTCACCCCATCTCAATCTGTCACTAGCATTTCCAGCCTCAACAGCCAATTACAAAACAGCAAAAGGCCACCATGTAGCCTTTTTGTGGGTTTTGTTAGAGAAGCTGGAAATGGTCAGGTGTGCACACCTATATCCCAGCTACCTGGGAGGCTGAGGTAAAGGCCAGCCTCAGGAGTTTAGCAAGGCCTTGTCTCAAAATAAAAAAATGAAATGAGCTGGGGATATAGCTCAGTGGTAAAGAATCCCTGGGCTTAATTCCTAATAACAGAGAGAGAGAGAGAGGGAGGGAGGGAGGGAGGGAGAACTGGAAATGTGGATTCTTTTGTGAAACCTCCTTATTTTTAAATTATGAAAATTAACATAATTAACACACACATACACACACACACACACACACACACCAACACACCTATCAGCCTCTAATCTGCAAATTCTATTCAGCCCGTTCCCTACCCCCAACATTTATTCAATGAGATCCCAAGGACCCATTAATGAGCCTATTCTATTTTTTCTCCAAAGCTCCAAACACATGACAAAGAGGAAGAGGACTCCCTAGGCTCATGGAGATCAGGGAAGGAAAGGCCTGCAGAAGCTGCAGCACTATGGGTCTATTTTCAATGACACAGGTAAAAAATGTGCTATTCATCATCACTAAAACCCTCCAGTGGTCCTCAGGAAGGGAGCTCCCTCAGGAAGGGGGCTCCCTGCTGGGAATGGGAATGTGGACAAGCAGCTTCACCAATATCTTTGGGGATGGCTGCAAAAGACATAAAAGCTGGAGTGGAGAAAACCCTGGCTTTTGAGCAATTTGTTTCCAACCCCCATCTCCACTAACTCTCCTGGACTTTATCCCTGCCAGCTCCCTCCGCCCACCATCACCTCTCTCCAGTCTCCTCCAGGGCTGTTCCTCTCCATTCTGATAGGCACAAACCAGATCTTATTCTTATTCTTTGTTCACATACGTGTACACTTGAACATACACAGACACATGTGACTCATAGGAGAATCTTAGAATGAGAGTATTAAATCTGAAAATTTTACCCTTCTCTCCTCTGTGTCTCTCTCTTTTTTTGGTACTAGGGATTGAACCCAGGGGTGCTTAAACCACTAAGCCACATCCCCAACCTTTTAGTTTTTATTTTGAGACAGAGTCTTGCTAAGTTGTTTAGAGCCTCATTAAGTTGATGAGACTGGCCTCGAACTTGCAATCCTCCTGCCTCAGCCTCCTGAGTTGCTGGGATTATAGGCATGTGCCACTGTATCCGGCTTTATCTCCCCATTTTTTAGGTAAGAAAACTGAGATCAGATGTCACCCAGAAATTAATGGCACCTACTAGACCATACATCTCATCATTTTCCCCGAAGATTATAAGCTGTTTGGTAAATAATGGTGTCTAATATTGTTCTGCACAAAGAGTTATGCTAAGCATACAATAGGCACTTAAGATACTAGTTTAATTGAACAGAACATAGTCTCTGATATCCCTGAGGGAAAATGGTGCCTCTAAGAAGAGATGATTATAAGATGAGAAAAAACATTTGAGTTAAACCTAGCCCATATTATTCACAATTCCAAGGATGGAATCAAAGAACTGCAGAACTGGAAACAGAAAGACAAAACAGAGAAACCACACTGTAAGTCAGATATGGTGGTGCATGCCTGTAATCCCAGCAGCTTGGGAGGCTGAGGCAGGAGGATTGAAAGTTCAAGACCGGCCTCAGCAACTTAGCAAGGCCCTAAGCAACTCAGTGAGACTCTGTCTCTAAATAAAATTCAAAAAAGGTCTGGGGATATGGCTCAGTAGTTAAGGCCCCTTGGTCCAATCCCCTGTACCAAAGAGAGAGAGAGAGAGAGAGAGAGAGAACTTACACTGTAGACAGCATGTTCACTATAAGTATTGAGTTCTTTTTTTAAAATTTTTCTTCTGTTTTTAGTTGTAGATGGACACAATACCTTTATTTTATTTGTTTATTTACTTATTTATTTTTTATGTGGTGCCAGAGATCGAACCTAGTGTCTCACACATGCTAGGCAAGCGCTCTACCACTGAGCCGCAACCCTGGCCCCAGTATCGAGTTCTTATTTTAGTAGAAGTGACTAAGGTACACGTAAGTTCCCAAGGTCACCAGGTTGGTGAGGTCAGAGGCAGGGCCTGGCCCTCAGTGTTCTTCCAATGCTGGGCTCCCAATCCTTCCCAATCTCACCTTTCAATCCTATCTGACTACCCGGAATCTTTGCTTGGAATGTCTGGGTCTTGTTCCTGTCTGGACCATCTCCGAAGTTCAAGGTGGTCAGTAAGCCCACGACGTGAGACCCTGGCCACTTCCCTGTGACTGTCCCATTCATGGGGCACAGGGTCATCTGTCCAAAAGATCTCAAAAAGGAAACCCAGTCCTGTGTTCAAAAGGAGGATGGGAGAGAGATGAGATGAGATCAGTAGCAGGAGCAGGTCTACAGGGGAAGGGTGAGCCAGAGGATACTCACCTGAGGGATGTCAGGGCTGCGCAGGCCAGTCCTGTGGGTAAGGAGGTAGCCACCAAGGCCCAAGCCCGAGAGGCCAAGAAGCAGCAGGATGAAAGTGGCACAAACCAGAGGTGGGTGGTGGACCAGAAAGAGATGCAAGTTGTGCCCTGCCTGGCAGCTGCCCATGGGGAGCAGAGGGGTATGGACCTCTGCGGAGAGCCTGCGGAGGACAATGAGGGAGAACTAGACAAGAGCCCACTGGTCAGGAGGCACCACCCATTTTATCCAAAGGGAAGCTAAAGCTCAGACAAGACAAGGCACTTGCCCAAAACCACACAGCCAATAAGTGACAGGACCCAGACAAGAATCCAAGGGTCTTGACTCCAAAAATTCATCTCTCTGTATCACTTAATAAATATTTGCTGCATTTCACTTTTGAAACAATCAAGGCAGAAGTAGAGCAGAGCATTCTATGCTGGAAAAAGGAGAATGAAAGGAAGAATTCTCAGCCAGAGAAAGGGGAAGCCACTGTTCTGGGATAGTGTTTGGTGAAAGAACAGCTCCAGCCAGAGTATTTCACTAGAAGGTCCCACCTTTGGAGCTACTTGGTCTGGTAGCTCTGCTACTCATTAGCCATGTGAAACCAAGTCAGTTAATCTCTGTGAACTTAATCGGAGTTTTAAGAACACCAAATCATAGGATTAAATGTCGCAGACAGGTTATCTGCTTTTACTTGGCCACGCAGGTACTCAACAGATGTCTGTTTCCTTTCTCTGCCATACTGATCTTCAAAAACCAGATGAGACAAGGCTAGAATATTGTGGAAGAAACTGAAGCTCTAGGACTTTAACATAGAAGTGGTAGGGCCAGCGTCTGCAACTGGTCTCCTGTCTCCTGCTTCCAAGTAAAGTACTCTGTTCTGCACAAGAAGCGACAGCCCGATGGGAAAGAACATCTGGAAGTCGAGGAGTTAAATGTATGGGGTGGAGGAAGAAGGAGGGAGCCACGGAAATGCAGGTGTCACCAATGCTCAGCTCCTGCCCAGCCACCCGTCCAGGCATTTCTGGAAAGGGAAAAACAGGAGGGGGGAGGGCAGAGCCTTGGGGTCAGCGGCTGGTGGGGCACCTGGGCCTCCCCTCCTCCCCAAAGCCCCCTTAGGAAGAATCTCGACACCCGCATCCCTTCCGGATCTGGCGGTGTCGGGTTGGCCCGCCGCTAGCTCTCACCGCTCGGAGCCGGGCGGAGGCCAGCGCCCCCCGCGACGTCACGCGTGGAGCCGCGAAGGGGCGGGGTCGGCTCCGCGCTTCCCTCTTCCCCCCCCGCCCATCCCGCCCCCGCAGCGGGGCTCGCATGCGCAGTGGCCCGTCTCGCCCAAGTCAGGGTGGGGGCGTACCAAAAGGAAACTTAACCGAGGGACCAAGGGGCGGGGACAACTCCGCGGGAGACGATGAAACGCCAGAGAGGCGAGGGAGCTACTGGTAGAGCCATTGCTGAACGCCCGGGCCCCTCTCCCGAAAGACCCTGGAGAGTTTCCGCGCAAATCTCGTCGCAGGCATTTTTCTGTTGTTCGTCCTCCACCCGCGCCAATAGAACGGGCCAGCCGCGCCCAGGTTCCGGGGAAGGACTTGGGGTCCGCCCGGTGGGGTGGGGCTCCCGCTTCAGAACTCGGCCTTCCGGACTGGGAGAGTTAGAGATCCGCTGCTCTGGCACCTTCGAAATTCTAAATGTCTACACCTTAAGTATAGCCGCTGGCTTTTAGTGACTCCTAAGTGCCTAGGAGCCTGGAGCCGCCAGGCTGCACGGTAGCGACCTTCTTGTTTCACTTCTGAGCACATTTTAGAGATGAGACTCTCAGACCTGAAATAGCATGACACATGGAGCCAGGAAATCTGGGTTCATGTCCTGACTCTGTCCATGCCCCTTTGGGGATGGACAGCTTGTCACAGTGGTTCCATGGAAAGCTTAAAAGGCAAAGCGTGGAAAAACATGTGCCCAGTGCCCACTGAGCACACAGCCAGAGGACAAACACCGTTTGAAAAGGAATCTGAGCATTTAACCAATCTTAACCATAGCTTTCTTAAGGCAGACACCACATGGTTTCTGCAAAAGTTTTATGGCGCAAAAACCTTTGCATAGATGGTCAAATGATTTTTGCCAAGGGTACCATAATCATTGAGTGGCAAAAAGTCTTTTTTTTTTTTTGCTTTACTGAGGATTGAGTCCAGGGGCAGTCCCATACAGAATTATATCTTCAGCTCCATTTATTTATTTGTTTGTTTGTTTGTTTTAATTTTTAGACAGTCTCCAATTGTTGCTCCAGGCTGGAGGCTCCTAGAAAGTATATAATAGGTGCTTTATAAATGTCATTGATTGACTTCATTGAAGTTCCAAGCACATGAAGTATTTTTATCTCAAAGGAAAAATAAACATGACTGATAGGGAACCTTAGAATATAAGTTTGGGAAATATTCAATAACTGAACAAGCTCAATAATAACCCCCTCCTTTGTTTTTCATATGCTAAGCTAAGGCCCAGAGAGGATAAGAGACTTGCCCCAAGTCGCTCAATCCAGTTAAGCCTCAACCAGAACTTCAGCCCTAGTTTCCTAATACCAATTTCTTTCCCACAAGATTCTGGTTCACTGGGTGAGGTGGCAGACCATTTGGTCTAATCCCAGTGGTTCTGGAGGCTGAGGCAGGAGGATCTCAAGTTCAAAGCCAGCCTCAGCAAGTTAGTGAGTCCCTAAGTAACTTAGCAAGACCCTGTCTCAAAATAAAAAATAGAAAAACATGCTGGAGATGAACAGGGAGGTTCCCCCAGAGAATTCACCAAATTCTAGTCTCATTATAAAGCTGGGAGCACATCTGCCCATGCTTAACCATTTTTGAAATTTAGTTTAAAACCCCAAACAGTTTATTCAGTTAACAGTTTTTAAAATGCCTGCTATGATCCAGTTACAAAATTAATATCCATCTGGCGAGATCTTTGTCAATTCTTTTATATACTGAGAAGTCTAATTTGCAGGGTAAGATAGGCATCAAAGTGCCCAGCGTAGTACTGATACACCACAGGAGAGCAACAAATGTGAATTTCCCTCATTATTCTTGTATTGTGAAGTTATTATGCATACTTGGACAGAGTTCTTGTAAATGATCATAATTGATATTTTTTATGTTGCTAAACTAAGTAATTCTGTGGACTAGTAGAGGCAAACTGATTAGAAAAAGGAATGGCCTTGAGTCCAGAGAATTCTCATCTACTGCCGTGAACAAAGGGTTTCTGTATGTTTGTTTTGATACTGGAGATTGAACCCAGGGGCAGTTTACCACTGAGTTACATTCCTAGCCTTATTTATTTTTTTAAGGTACTAAGGATTGAACTCAGAGGCACTCAATTACTAAACCACATCCCCAGCCCTATTTTGTATTTTATTTAGAGACAGGGTCTCACCAAGTTGCTTAGCACCTCACTGTTGCTGAGGCTGGCTTGGAACCTATGATCCTTCTGCCTCAGACTCCAGAGCCACTTGGACTACAGGAGAGCCCACCACCGGGCTTTTATGTTTATTATGAAACAGAATCTCATTAAGTGGCTTAGGTTCTTGCTAAGTTGCTCAGGCTGACCTCCAACATGTTAACTCCTGCCTCAGCCTCTGGAGTCACTGGAATTACAGGTGTGCCCCATGGCACTCCCTGTGAACAGATATTTTACAAAGCACGTGCGGCAGGGGGAACAGAAGACATAACGTTAGTTGTACACCTTAACACTCCAACACTATATCATCCCTTTTGAAGAAATCCACCCTACAGGCCTTTAAGGTGGATGTTACTATGGAAACCTGCTCTCTAGCCTAAATAATTTAATGAAGGTCACACAGATGGTAGGTGACAGAAGTCGGTTTATGAATCAAGCTTGGCACAGCCTAACCTGTGAGAATCAGAAAGCCAATAGAGAATCACTTAGTCCCTTAAAGGAGATGGAGGGAGGGTTTCTTGATCATTCCATGTTGATAAATTCCTCCCAGAGCTCTGGCCTGCATAAAGCTTTTCCCAGAGATCTGTTTTTTGTTTTTGTTTTTTTCCTTCTAGGTTATTTGAAGGGTTAAAAAACCCTTTGAGGGGCTGGGATTGTGGCTCAGTGGTAGGGCTCTTGCCTAGCATGTGTGAGGCACTGGGTTTGATTCTTATCTCCGCATATAAATAAATAAATGATTTTTAAAAGCCTTGAACTGGGCGTGATGGCACACACCTGTAATCCCAGTGGCTCTGTAGGCTGAGGCAGGAGATCACAAGTTCAAAGCCAGCCTCAGCAATGGTGAAGCACTCACTCAGACCCTGTCTCTAAATAGAATACAAAATAGGGCTGGGTATGTGGCTCAGTGGCTGTGTGCCTTTGAGTTCAATCCCTAGTACCAGCCTCCCGCCCCCCCCAAAAAAAAAAAAAACAAATAAAACTTGAAGATCTGATGAAAGCATTTCATCCAGTCATAAACATCTCTTGACCACCAGGTTCTATGCTGCAAGCTAGGAATACATTGGTGGGCAAAGTATTTCTGATCCCTGGCCTCCTGGAACTATAATCTGACTATAGACTCTCCGAAGAAAAATGCCTGCTCACTTAAACTTCTACTATTTCAATCAGTAGAACCTCAGTCCTTTTGGAGCCCATACTTGAACAAGAACTCAATGTAGGTATTAAATAGTTATATCTAAGTTTTTTCTCTGCTCTAGTTTTACTTTAGTTTTGTGTTTAATTTCATATAAAAACTGCTTAATAAAACTATTCATTAATATTTATTCATTTTCCCTTTTGTACTTTTTTTTGTTGTTGTTATCAGGGATTGAACTCAGAGGCACTCAACCTCTGAGCTACATCCCCAGCCCTATTTTGTATTTTATTTAGAGACAGGGTCTCACTGAGTTGCTTAGCACCTCACCATTGCTGGGGTTGGCTTTGAATTCTCAATCCTAAGGATTAAAGGAGATGGAGGGAGGGTTTCTTGATCATTCCATGTTGATAAATTCCTCAATCCTCCTGCCTCAGCCCCACAAACCACTGGGATTACAGGCATGTACCACGGACGATGCCCAGCTTGTACTTGGTTTTTATTCTGTGTTGTTCATCCATTCAACCAACAAATCCATTCATTAAACAAACATTTAAACACTTGCTAAATGCCAAGCACCTGGATAGGCACTGGAGGAAACCATGTTTCCTATCACTGAAGACAGGCTTAATGAAAGAGCCAGATACACAAAGGATTAAGGTAAAATGTCAAATGCCATAACACACAGTTAATAACATAATAGAGTGGGGGTGGACATCAGTGCTAGAGCACTTGCCTAGCATACAAGAGGCCCTGGGCTTAATCTCCAGCACTGGAAGCCAGGTACAGTGGCATACACCTGTAATCCTAGTGATTCAGGAGGCTGAGGAAGGAGGGGATCACAAGTTTGAGGCCAGCATGGGCAATTTAGTGTGACCCAGAATTGAAATAAAATTAAACAGGACTGGAGATGTAGTTCACCCCAAAGTTCAAGTACTGCAAAAAATATTTATAATAATAAAGCAATTGTTACCCTCTAAATAGGTCAAACAAAGATCATTGTATTGTCTCAAGCAACTAATAAAAAATAAAATAAAATAACAAAAAAAAAATAAATAGGTCAAAAATTTAATGGCCTATTCAAACATATGAAGAACAAAATATTATCCCTACTTAATGGATAAGAAAACTAAGAGTTGGCAATACTAAGAAAGTTGCCCACTATCTCCAGCTAATCAATAGTTACATTTCCCCTCCCTCTCTCCCTCTCTCCCTCTCTCTCTCTCTCTCTCTCTCACACACACACACACAAAAAAAAAAAAAACTATAAAAATAATGGAACAAATATGAGATCATGTTTCTAAACCTGGAATAGAAGAGATATGTTCGGAATAGACATACAAACAATTGGGCATGTTTGCACATGTCTGTAATCCCAATGACTCAGGAGGCTGAGGCAGAAGGATCATATAGTCAAGACCAGCCCAGGCAATTTAGCAAGACACAGAAATTTAAGGAGACCCTGTCTCAAAAGAATAAAAATGTCTGGAGATATGGCTCAGGAGTAAAGCATCCATGGGTTCAATTCATACTACCAAAAAGAAGA